CAGGCTTTTGCTCAGCCACCCAGTGGTGATCTGGTACCTTCGATAGGCTACTTCTCTTTCGTTCACTCTACAGGTATTTATTGAGCACTCATTATGCACTGGATAATGAGAAGATTGCAATGAACAAGGCAAACACAGACCCCGCCCTCATGAAGCTTATTGTTTACTGGAGAAATGGGCAATACCTAGGTAACCAAACAAGAGTGAGACAGTGGATACCCCGAGGGGAAGACTTTTCTGAGCTGCTTTTAATGGTGAGACCTAAAGAATGAGAAGAAGCCAGAGGGAAGGGAAGAGAGTGTCATAGTCAGAGGGAGCAGTTTGGTGAGAAGCCAGGGCCTGGAGGAGGTCAGCGAAGCGGGAACCAACCAAGCTGGGCTCCCAGTCCGGGCATGATAAGGGGTCTGGGTTCCATTCCAACATAATGGGGAGCCACCAAAGGGTTTAAGGCAGGAGAATGGCTGGCCCGATTTGTGTGTTAAAAAGATGACTGTGGCTATGGTATGGGGGAATTAGATTGATGGGGGCAAGTGATGAAAGAAAGAAAGGCCTCTTTGGTGGCAGTTGGGGAGGAAAAAAGAGAAAGATTTGAAAGATTTTTTAAGAGGTAGAAATGGCAGGATTGGCTGATGAATTAGGTATGAAGACAAGGGGATGGGAAAAGCAAGGCTGGCACCAGGTTGCTGGCGTCAGTATTTGGGTGTCCATTGCAGGGCAGGGGGATGAGCGATCGATAGTTCCATCAGAGATGACTGTGCGGGTGCAAGGAGAGATGTCAGGTAGGCAGTCAGATATATGAGTCTGAGCTTGGACTGGGGATTTGGGTAGGTGATATAAATTTGGGAGTTGTCAGTCTTGAGAACGAATATTATCCCCTAGTGAAAGGGGACAGAGGGGAGAAGGGGACCCAGGACCAAGCCTGGGGATTCCAACATCAAGAGGGCAGAGAGAGGAGGAAGAACCTCCAAGGGGAAAAAGAGACGGAGGCAGAGAGAGAGAGAAGGAAAACCAGAGGAGGTTGGCAACCTCAGGGGCAAGAGAGCAGTGTTTTAAGAGGGAAGTGGTGTGGTGGAGACTGAGGGAGACTGGAAAGGGAGGGTGTCATTGGATGTGGCCACACAAAAGCTCCCAATGACAGTAACAAGAGTGGCTTGGCTGGAATTGGGTGTGGGGGAGGATGTGGGTTGGGTGGGGTAAATGGGTAGAGAGACAGTGGAGACAGCTTGTGACGACAACTCTGAGAACTTTAGTTATAAAGGGCAATAAAGAAATACACCCACAGAGGATGAGCGATGAGGGTGGGATGTTTTTGGAAGAGAAATACTAGATTGCGTTTGGAAACTCTCAAAATGATCACTGGAGAGTTCTCGAGATTGTGCTTCGGTTGTTTCTGTAATAATGATGAGAACATACAACTGTGTAACTCTTCACAGTTTACCAAGTGTTGTCACACACTCTCATCCTCGCAGCTATCCTGTGAGTTATGTAGCCATAGATGTAGTAGAAATAATGAGGAAGCTGAAGCTTGGAGAAATGAGTGTCAAGCTCAAGGTTAGCGCCAGAAAGTGGCATGGCCAGAAGCCGACACCCAGGCTGCTCTGGACCCAACCCCCAGGCCCCTCCCTGCCCATCGCAGCCCTGTCCCAGCAGACTGGCACCAACATTGGATGGCACTCACATAACTGTGGGCTGTGCCCTGCTGGTGTCTCTCGAGCAGACTTTCCAGTTGCCTCCAAGCCCATCGCTTCTGCCTGCTGGCCCAGCCTTGGAGATTATGAAGGCACATCTGCTTTTTAAGAACATGGACCCTGTCCCACTGCCTGACCCCATTTCACTGAACTCCTAGAATTGCCCCACAACCTCTGGCAGGTGTCACAAGAAGAAGCATGAAATCTCACATACCGTACATCCAGCTCCCCCGGCCGATTGGTGTGGGAACTGACATCCCTTTTGTGACCCTCTGATTTAGTCCAAATCTCTTGTTTTGTGGAAGAGAAGCCCAGAGCATGGGTTTCTGACCAGCCAAAGTCACAAAGCTAACCTCTGGCAGAGTCAAGACCTGCGAGAAACAAATGAAATCAAGGATGAGAAGGTTCTTTGTAAATTGTAAAGTGCTGTAGAAAGGTAGGGTTATTATCTCCAGTGTTTACATGAAATCCTCAGGCATTGCTCACATCACTACTCTGGGAGAAGCTGCCAGAAAAAAATTTAAAAATGCAGAGAACTGCCCGACCAACGTGGCTTAGTGGTTGAGTGTTGACCTATGAACCAGGAAGTCACGGTCAGTTCCTGATCAGGGCATATGCTCGGGTTGCAGCCTTGATCCCTAGTTGCAGGTTCAATCCATAGTTGGGAGTGTGAGAGGCTGTTGATCAGTGATTCTCATCACTGATGTTTCTATCTCTCTCTACCTCCCCCTTCCTCTCTGAAATCAATGAAAATATATATATTTTTTAAGTGCAACCCTAGCTGGTTTGGCTCAGTGGATAGAGCATCAGCCTGCGGACTGAAGGGTTCTGGGTTTGATTCTGGTCAAGGGCACATACCAGGGTTGCAGGCTTGATCCCCTGTAGAGGGCATACGGGAGGCAGCTGATCAATGATTCTCTGTCATCATTGATATTCCTCTGTGTCTCTCTCCCTCTCTCTCTCCTTCTCCCTCTTTCCCCCTCTCCTTCTCCCTCTCTCCTTCTCTCCCTCTCTCCCTCTCTCCCTCTCTCCCTCTCTCTCTCTCCCTCTCCCTTCCCCTCTGAAATATATTTTTTAAAATGCAGAGGATTAAGAGAGTTGGCATTATAGGCAACATGGCAAGAACATAGGATTTGGACCCTGGAGATGGTCAGAGGCCCAGCACTGTCATGTATGAGCTGTGTAACCTTGGACAGCTCACTTTGCTTCTCTGACCTTCAGGGTTCTTTTCTAGAAAAATGCCTTACCTACCTTCTTTCTGGGATTACGTGGGGTTCAGGTGAGACAATGCTTGTGAAAGTGCTTTTAACGAGGCCCAGAACCCTAGGACTACATGTCTTGTGAGGAGTAGTAGGGACGGTGGCAAACAGAAGACCCAGAGGCTTGGAGGACTAGTGTTGAGCACGCAGAAGGCACTTCCTGTCCCTGGGGGCTGGAGCCAGCTGCTGACAGTGCTGGAACCCGTATACTGTCTCTCCTGCCTAGAAGTGTCCCCAGGTCATGCCGTGTCCTTAACACAGCCCTCAGACGATCTTTGTCAAAACATCTAATGTGCGACCTTCCATCACCCGGTGCTGACTCAGCCCCCGGTGAGCTCTGTCTCCCCTTTCACACACTGTGGGTGCCAGAAGGCTCCCGGCCAGTTGCTCAGCATCCCCCCAATTTCACTGGCTCTGCACTTGGTGATGAAGGAGAGGGCCAAGTTGGATCTGTTTCAAGGAAGCAAGAAGTGATTTCTCTCAAAGACCTTGGGGAGTTCTTCCCGCCCTCCAAGTGTTCTCTGCCCTGGACCATCCAGAGGCTGGCAGCTGAACTCAGGATGCTCATGCCCGGGTTAGAACAAAGGCAGGAGACCAGGGACTAGTGCATGGAGGCTGGCCAGGTTCCTTTGGAGAGCCTGGCAAGCTGGTTTTCCAGGAGCAGTAAGAGGCCTTCACACATTCATGCCTGTGCTGTCTGGGGGGTGACCTTGGAGCATGCCACTTTCTCCAGATGGAAATGCGAGGGGAAGAAATCGACCGTGGGGCACCTAAACCCTTATGACTCAGCTGTGAGCTCTGAGGTCTCCCTCATTCAGTCATTCAACAAATATTTATTGAGCACCTCTGTGTGCCAGGCACTGTTGTAGGCCCTGGGGAACAAAACAGACAGAAAGCTCTGCCCTCGTGGATCTGACATTCCAGTGGGATCAGAGAAGGAACAGATGACCAAGAAGAGACAGATGGTCAGCTGGTGGTAACAGCCATCGGGGAAGAGCAGGGGGCAGAATAAGGAGAGCAGGGTGGAGGTGGTTGCAGATTTCAGGAATGTGGGCAGGAGGGCCTCACTGAGAAGCAACAATTGAGCCAGGGCCTGAGGGAGGTGAAGGACGGAGGCACCCATGTGGAAGTCTGCAGGAAAAGCATCCTGGGCCGAGGGAGCAGCAAGAGCCAAGTCCCTGAGGCAAGATCATGCCTGGGGGCCAGGGGGCTGCGGGAGTGAAACGGGAGAGATGAGGACTGATGAGAACTTTAATCTTTTGGTTTTGAGTTTCATAGAAATAGAAACCCAGCAGGTTCTGCTAATGACTTTAGATGTATTCATAATCTCCCGCCTGAGATGCGAATTTCATACATACTGTTTAAGCGCTGGGACTTCCGTCAGGAGAGGGTCATCCCAAACCTCACCCACAAAGCCTCTGCTCCTCCTCGGCTCAGTCACACAAGGGCTCTTGGGATAGCAGAAAGGGCCCGAGTTCAAGTCCCAGCACCTGACACTTATTAGCTGTGTTACCTTGGGAAGGGCACTGAACTTCCCTGAGCCTTTGTTTCCCTGATGAAGCTCACCAGTTGCTTCATGTGTAAAATGGGTTAATTATACAGCCTTCCTTACCGCCCTCCCCTAATTGTTGTTAGATTTAAAAGAATGAGATCACAAGTGTGAAAGTGGCTTTGGCATTGAAATGGGCAAGCTAAGTGCCTGGGAGGTTCTTGTTTTCTTCGGGATAGCCTGTGGTAAAAGGCTTGTCACTGGTTTCCCACTCCCCTCTACTCCCCTGCTCCTTATATTGTGTTCCATGAAGGTGGAAAGCAGGAAGAGGCCCGTGTGGGCCCAATTGACTCTCGCTTTGCCGGGGCCCATATCTGATTCATGGACACTCATCAAACACCCAGGGACCCCCAGGACAAGCTGCTGAGGGCTCCCCAGGAATTCTGTGGGGCTGAATTGCCCCACACTGACCTCTCTGGGAGGACTCTGAGCCCTTTGCTGGTCAGGTGGAGGCAGGTGGCCCAACTGCTCCTCCCCAATGTCCCCTTCCCCTCGCCCATCCAGGTACAACGGCCCCAATCTGGTTCTGAAGTACGACCGGGCCCAGAAGCGGCTGGTGAACATCGCAGTGGACAAGCGCAGCTCCCCCTACTATGCGCTGCGGGACCGGCAGGGCAACGCCATCGGCGTCACAGCCTGTGACATAGACGGGGATGGCCGTGAGGAGATCTACTTCCTCAACACCAATAATGCCTTCTCAGGTAAGGGTTTGGGGCCTCGGGCCTCTTCCTGCTTTCCACCTTCCTCCCAGCACCATCTGGGGGCAGGGCCTTGGGGACCCTGGCCCTCCTCAGGCTACTGTCACGGGCCCCCGCCCCTAGACATAGTCCCCTGCTGCCTCCAGGACCTCGCTCTGTCCCAGCAGAAGAGCCCCTTCTCCTCTTGTGCATGAAGCTGGCCCTCATCTCCTGGCTGCTGGGCCTGGAGATGGAGGGCCTTGAGCAAAAGCCTGTCCTTACCTTCAGACTTTGTCCTCGGGCCTCCCGGTAGGTAGGAGCAGCCTCCAGTCCTCCTAGCCCCTCCTCTCCCCTCCCTCCCCACTGCTCCGGCCAGGCTCAACCACGCAGCATTCTCACCCAGGTGGCCACCATAGCAACAAATGTTGCCCGTAATTGCCCTCCATGCTGTTTCAAGGGGGCCTTTCTAAAATGCTTTGAAATCCTTCAGTGACCCACAGCTTTCAGCATAGCTCATTTATTCACACCACAAATTC